ACACAGGCACAGACCCGAGGGGCAGGCACCACCCACAGCTCGTTCCCCCCAGGTGCACGTCGCCACATCTGGGCCCACACTGCCGAGACTGTGAGCCCATGGGCAGATGCTACGGCAGAAAAATCTCTGAAAAACTGAGTCTGTGTTCAAAGTTAAGGAAAGAGATACACTTCCTAAGAGGACACTACGCTCCAGACAAGCCTGTCAGAGCAGAGGTTGTGGGAGCTGCTTATCTGACAGCACCAGTCCTGTTCAGAAGGAATGTGCCTAGAGGCCCAGGCGGGACCAAGTGGTCGGTAGAGTGTTCCTTTGCTCTATGGGAGTTGTCTTAAAATAATCTGGTAGGGTGTGTGCAGGGGAATGCAAATGAAACAAAATTGGCCACGTGTTGATAAATAAAGCAAGGTGATATAAATTCCCCCCGACTTGTGCGGATGTTTGCAAACTCCCATAATAAAAAGTGGGGGTGGGGGAAAGAAGCAGGAAGTAAAATTCCCCCAAGTTCATGGAGGGACTTTCTAAGAGCCACTGAGACCTGAGCTGCAAACGTAACGACTGGGAAAAGTACTTCGAGAAAAGTCAGGCACACAGGCTTCTCCCCTTAGAGAGCAGGGCCTGAAGCCAGGAGTTGAAAAGACGCCAAGAGCTGTATTTAAGGAGACCGGGGAGAGGTGGTCGCAGAGACTGGGCGGCCTGGCCAGGAGGCTCACCTGGTACCTCTGACTCTGGATCCTGGGGAGGGACAGCACGATCATCTTCCAGGCAAACATCTCCTGATACAGCTTGTACCTGCACTCTTCGATGGGCGGGTTCAAGTAGATGACCTGATTGGTTATTCTGAGCTCGTGAATGACATTCTGAAAAGCAAAGATTTCATGTCTTACTCCGCGATCTGCTTCAACAGAATGGTTTTGATGCATCACCCTTTCTCTAAGTTACTAAACTGCTTCCCTCTGAACCATGATCTTCTGCAGTGCCATGCTTGCGGTCTGGGCCCTCCCCAGGGATCCAAGTCGGAGGGCAGGTTGAACCTCCTGAAGGTCCCCCATGCCTGGGTGCTCAATGAGGCACCACCTGCTGGGCCGTGCACCTGAGCCCAGCCGGCTGCAGCAGGGACATGAGCTGGCATTCGCAGTTGGGCTCCTGCTCACTGAGGCAGGTCTGCCTGTGCCACCTGCCGGTGCTGGGAGCTGGTCAGGAACTCCCGCCCCATCTCCACCTGACTCTATCACTTGGACACACTCATTTGCTTTCCTGAATCTCAGTACAGTGGGGCCTTGACTTATGAGTGTCCTGACTAACGAGTTTTTCGAGATACGAGCAGTCTCTCGGCCGATTTTTTGCTTTGAGTTGCGAGCTAAAATTCTGGTTATGAGCCAGCTTCAGATACCCCACCGCTAGTTGGCGTAGTAAACGTCACAGTGAACACCACAACATCAGCCCAGCATCACGTGTCTCACTCGTTCACTTTTTGATTTGACATACGAGTAATTTGAGTTACAAGCTCCGTCACAGAACAAATTAAACTCGTAAGTCAAGGCCCCACTGTATTTTAAAAAATATGCTCTGGGGATAAATACCCATAATATTCAAAAGTGAAAACATTTTTCAAGCATTAAGAGAAAAAAAACTGAGAAGGTAAATAAAGTCTGGGAAGGAAAAAAAAAGCCAAATGTTTCCCCAGGTCAGAGTTTTACTTGCAATTCTTTTAGGCTTCTGATTCGTGATACCTTTCTTACTGATAATTACACAAACTACATAAAACAACACGGCACTTAGGAAATTCCTGTGAGGTGTGCATCTCTCCGACCACCTCCCACATCAGGAGACAGGGCCTATTAGCACAGTTTGAATTAACAGAATTTTCCAGAAAGCTTGCTAGGATCCACTGACCACGTTGTCACAGGAATGCGAACAGGCGCTTGGAGACAGACTGTGTCCAGGGTGTGACCACTGAGCTATTACCGACTCATCCATGCAGTTCCCACTCAGATTCATGTGAAGACAGGGACGGGTCAGTGTCATAGCCTGAACGTCCACTTGGCGATTACGTTCAGTCCCTGAAATGATTTCTTGCACGTGTGCTTGGAAAGCAGAGGGTTATTTTTTTCTGTGTACATTTATTTTTCATTTGTTAAAAATGAAACTAAGTTTAGACTTTCAGGAGAGTCACCAAGAAAGCAGGAAGTTCCCAAGCGCCCTTCACCAGCCTGCTCTGACGTGAAGCCGGCCATGGCACGATGACCACAGCAAAGAAGTTAACACTGACCCAGCACCCCGACCTGGAACACAGGCTGTCACACGTGCAGGCTCTCATCCAGAGCCC